TCAGGACAATTCACACAGCGCCATCTAGTCCCAAGCTAAGCAGAGCTTGTGTTATGGGTACTAGACAACTGATATAAATACATGGATGCATTTTTTTTTAATAGACACCCAGACCGATACCGACAATCATACTCATGAATACAAATATTTGTACTGTGCGAGGAATCGAACCCGCGACCATCGGATAGTAAAGTCGTGTGCTAAACCAGTAGACCACAGAGGCTGTCAATAAATACGGTACATACACCAAAATAACATTTTTTACAATTTTTGTCTCTCTATCTGTTTGTTCTGGCTAATCTTTCAGGCAGCTGATATAATAAAGAGTAACTTAGGCTACTATTATTTTAGAAAATTTATTTTATTTTAAAAACAAAAGTTTAATTCTACACGGACGAAGTCGCGGGTACAGCTAGTAGGAAATAAAAACTAACTATCTATTTTTTGAATAAATGCAAAGTGAATTCACGGGAACTAGTGGAAGCAAAAAATAGACACGAATAATCGGACGAGCGAAAGCTTCCCTCTGTTAAATTGGGCGCGCTACTGTTAGCACATGAAGGTACGTGTCATGAAAAGCTAGCTAATGATTGCGGTACTCCATAGCGATCCGGTGCGTATATTTTTAGTGAGTGAAAATCCCACAACTCACCGAGTTCATTCACCGGATATAATCCTCGGATACAATCCTTTTTGTAGACATTAAAGAAAATATACTAAACATATCAATGACGTGCTTAAATATATTTTTATGCAAATAAAATATGCATTGAATAGAAAATACAGAGCCATTGTGGAAACCTTATTGGAAATTGAAGCTTTAAAAAGCTACGGAACAAAAGTTTCTGTGAAGAATTACAATATTGTATACCTGTATACTGTATAGTCGAGGCACAATGGAAGAATATTTCTTTATTAATTTATTACTTTAGTAGTTGTGGTCGCCAGCTAATAATTGCTATCATTGTTATATAGAATAAAACAAAGTCGCTGTCGCTATCTGTCTCTATTAAATCTTTAAAACTACGCAACTGATTTTGAAGCGGTTTTTTTAATAGATAAAGTGATTCCAGAGGAAGATTATATATAGTACATTTACACCCGTGCGAAGCCGAGTAGCCAGTTAACATTAAATCGAGAGTATTGTTCTGTGAAATAATATTGAAAAATAATAAAATAATAAATTCAGATACCTACATATAATAAAAATATAAATTCCTTGATTATTCGAATATTTTTCTCTGAAAGAATTTCTCGTTGATTTTGAATATGCACGATATATTTCAGATTAAAATTTTTTAGTTTATTAATTTATGAAAACTCACAAAAATGTACGGGTATTATTTTTATTATGTTGATATTTATATAACATTCGGCGCCTGCTCTTGTCGATTTTATTTTAAAACTAAAAACCTAGGAATGGAGTCCGATTTTTTTATATATCTATATCATAAAATAGAACGAATTTATAAATGAATAATACAATAAATGTAATTCTAAAATCTGAAACTTCGTGACTTATAAAATACAAGAGACTTGGCCACTCTGTTTCAGGTAAAATGTAGCCAATATTTATTCTTATGATACAATCTATTTATATATTTGACTTCATGTAATTATAGTTTTAATAATATCGATTCACATTAGTGGAATACTGTGACATTTATTACTTTATTGCGGTACCTATTATAATGTTTTAATGAAATTTAATGACATATTGTAATTATGATATCATTTTCAATATTTGCACCCCTACGGGGTGCTGCATGTCGTGTACTAAAATTATATTGTAAGATCAAAATTACCATGTAGCAGGCAAATAAATAATTTTTTTTTTATCTCGACTTTCGCCGGTAATCTTGGTACGGGCCTAAGCCAAGTACATAACAATGTTATATCTTAGGTGGATATACCATAATACAAATGTAGGCCTAATCTGTCTTATTTATTATTATTATTATTATTATCTACACATCTTTCATTAAGATCCATTTAGCTGTTTATTCGTGATAAGATGACAAACAGATACGCTTTCGTATTTACCATATTGATATAAATATAACTGCAAAATACTTGTTAGATACCAATTAAATGAAACATTCGAATCTTCTCTGTTACTTATCATTATTATATTATATATATAGAGTTCTACTCTATATATATTATTTATTTGACATTTATCACTATATTTCGCCAATTTAAATAAGGTCTTTTTAAATTATAGTATATGTATATATTATATATTACTGTAAATTTTTATAAAAATCCATTTAGTAGTTTTTGAGTGAAAGAGTAACAAACATCCATCTATACTCACAAACTTTCATGTTTATAATATTCGTAAGAAGACAGTCAGTTAATAATAACATTGGAATTCATGTTTCAAGTAGTTACTAGAATTCCTTTTAATTTCTATAAACAAAATCTATTAAAATCTCTCTATTTCTATAAAAAACAAAGTCGCTGTCGCTGTCTGTCCCTATGTATGCTTAAATCTTTAAAACTACGCAACGGATTTTGAAGCAGTTTTTTTAACAGATAGTGATGCAAGAGGAAGGTTTATATATATAAACATGTACACCCGTGCGAAATCGGGGCGAGTAGCTATTATAAGAATAAAAAGAAACATAAAAGTGATCCGAAATATTGTCCCTGGAGAGAAGATTTATATCCTATTGAATAGTTATTAAGGAAAACATTTAGAGGAATAGGATTTCGTTAACCAATATTCCTTCTAATCCTGCATTATGTTCCGTTGTTTCTTGAATACTTCAAACGAAGATTGATTATGAATGCCAACGTAAATCGATATTGTAACAACAAATATTTACTTTAGACGTGTTTTCGATACAACGATGTATCGTTTAATACGAACTGTGTCCTTTGATTTAGATTAATTGATTAAATCTATGATTAAATTGAATTTAATTATTAGTCCTCATTAATAGAATAGAATAGAATAGAATAGAATAGAAAATCATTTATTCAAATAAACTTACATTGAAGCACTTTTGAATAGTCATTACATTTTTTAATCTACCACTCGTTCGGAAAGCTGTCTCATCACAAGAAGAACGAGCAAGAAACTTGCGTGTTGCTCTTTTAAATAATTTATTATTACTTTACATTTTTAAGTTTAAGTGTGTGAATACAAACCACCAATTAGCACTAATTCTATTAAATACTCAAATAGAAATAATATTGAATATATAACCAACTGGTTAAACAATTAATAAGAGGAAATCAGTCATAGTGATTAGAGCAGACCAGTCCCTACAAGCAGCACCCGTTCACGAGTATGATGGCTGAGCCAGCCATCACTGCGCTCGACCATATTTTAGGGAGCCCAATGACCCGGCCCACCACGCCGCCACAAGTCTGGACATTTTAGTGAGCATGACTACTCAAAACACTAGACTACGTCAAAGCTACTTACAATTGCTATCTGATAGTTATAGTATTCACATTTTACATAAGAATGCATGCGGCAATCAATACAAAAACCGCTACGCTTTCATATTTCTAAAATCAATCAATTAAATCAAGAAAGCAATGAGAAAATTAAATTATAACGTTGTATGCTAATAAACTAGTTATTTACTTGATATGTTGTCGTCTATGAATTCGTCTATCCTGTAATAGGCTTTCTTACACAAAAATTGTTTAATATAAGATTTGAATTGCCTCTCTGTCAGATTTAGTGCAGATTCTGGCAGTTTATTATAAACATATTCTACTATAGTATATTCATGTATGTCTGTATATGTGACTGTAGGTACAGATATAAATTCAGGTGTCCTCTATGGCGGTTTCGATGGTCGCAGGTTCGATTCCTCGCACGAACAGATATTTGAAATTTAGGTTAAAATAAGTAAGTATAGATTGATTAGAATTTTTTATATTTGATATTTATTTAACATCAATTTATCTCTAAAGATATATCTTGTCTTATATATAAAATTCTCGTGTCACAATGTTAGTTACCATACTCCTCTGAAACGACTAGATCGATTTTTATGAAATTTTATATACACATTCAATAGGTCTGAGAATCGACTACTATCTATTTTCATACCCCTAAGTGATAAGGGTTGTCCACCCCTAACATTATTATTATATTTTTTTGTCAAAATTTTTAATTATAATTTTTTATTATGTGTCAGTAAAAAATACATACGACCCTAAATTTTCACCTTTCTATCACCAACCCCTATTTTTAATGGCGTTATTAATTTATATGGCAAAAAAACGTTTGCCGGGACAGCAAGAAAGAAAACGCCGGATCTATGGAAGTGCATAATTTTAGAACAGCTGCATCTAAACATTTGGATCATCATCATCATCGCAGCCCCTAAGACGTCCACTGCTGGACTTAGGCCTCCCCCAAAGATCTCCATGACGATCGGTCCTGCGCTGCTCCCATCAATGCCTTCCAGCGATCTTGACCAGATCGTCGGTCCACCTTGGTCCGTGGTCGCCACTCGAGGACTTTACTGCCCCAACGGCTATCTGTCCTACGAGCTATGTGCCCTGCCCATTGCCACTTCAGAGTCGCAATTCTTCGGGCTATGTCGGTCACTCTGGTTCTTCTGCGGATCTCCTCATTTCCGATTCGATCACGCAGAGTAACTCCAAGCATAGCCCTCTCCATTGCTCTCTGAGTGACTCTGAGCTTATTCATGAGGCCCATAGTTAGCGACCACGTCTCTGTGTCGTAAGTCATCAATATTTTGATACATTTTTTTATTATATTAGTAATTGTCAGGACAAAAAGTGTGAAAGAAAAAAGTACCGTAAGTAAGTAAATTATAGAATTAAATTAGATTATTATATCTCCATATAAATTATACTGATGATATAGAGAGATTAAAATCTGGTAAATGATTTAGGCCCTTATATTCTTCATTAGTATAGATGTATGAACAGCAAATAGTTGTTATTAAATCCCTAAATAAAAAGCCCCATAAATGTCTAATTAATAAATATAAAAATTGACTTACCTATGCTCATCATTTCGACCAGAACTTCGAGTTGGATCAGCAGTGCAACCACGGCTGCGGCCAATCCGCCACAGATTGTTGCAAGTGCTGGTGTGCCGGTTGTCTCCGAAATGATCGCCAGTTGCCTGGTAGAAATAATATGTATTTAGGTTTTAGAGCCTGATAGTTTTGAACCTAAGAATATCCATGAAGAATTTACTCAACGCCGTCTAGTCCCAAGGTAAGACAGTGAGTGAGTGAGTGACTGGTATTATGGGTATTCTATGGGTAGACTAATATTATGTAACTGGGGAAAAGGGGATTGTTAGTAATGTGGACTCATGACCCCATTACTAGCAGTGTACCATATCAGGTTGACCTCCACGCGGTTCCCCCTGGAAACCATCGTGATAACTTCCTGGTGTAATTGTCACGATGGGTGACTGACTTGACCTCATGTTCATCTTATTATCTTCCACTGGTGCCCCGCCAGCGTAAACCGTAAGCGCAGGCGAGTGCACCATTCCATTATCATCTATTAAAAAAAATATCATCATTATCGCATCCCGGAAGACGGTGGACTGGCAGTGGACTGCTGGACTTAGGCCTCCCCCAAAGATATCCACGACGGTCGGTCCTGCGCTGCTCGCATCCAATGCCTTCCAGCGATATAGATACGTCCAGACGGATGCAAATAATCACAGACATGAATATTTACCTTGCGAGGAATCGAACCCGTGACCGTAAGAAGAAAAGCGGTGTGCTAAACCACTAGACCACCGAGGGTAGCAAAGAGATAAGAGACATTACATCGTAGTCCTTAGTAATAGCAACAGACGAGTTATATAACGGTGTTGTCGAGATGTAGATGCTGTGTGCTGTGCGATGCTAACATAGAGACTGTTTAATAACGAACATACCATGCAATACAACCCACGTAATATCTATACATATTATATATAAATAAAATTACAGTGTCTGTTTGTACTATACGGTATATATACCAAAATATTTTTTTTATCATTTTTGTCTGTCTGTCTGTTTGTCTATTAGTTGGGCACTAGCTAGTGTTAGCTTCAATATATAAAGAGCACTCGGTTGACTAATTTGTTACTTACATTTCATTCAATTAAAGCCATAGTAAGTCACGTGATGTTGGTGGCGTCACGATTATGCCGCCACCAATAGGAATAGAGATAAAGAGGCCGGGAACAAGGAGGGAGCGGGCTGCTCTCTCTTTGTTCGAGGCGACTGAGACGACCAGATGTGAATGTACAGCGACGCAATTTATGTGGAGTGTAATTTGAAAAAGGAGTAAATTAAAAGTACTGCTGCTTTGACGTATCATTTCTGAAACTTCCGAATACTAGTGGCTGGTTAGACTAGTTTGAATATTATTACATTGTGAATAAATAAGGCATTTCGCTCGCTCATGAGAGTTAACTCTAATAATCTATCTATCTATATATATAAATAAAATTGGAGTGTCTGTTTGTAATATTGAAATAACAGTTTTTACTACATGCATATGAATATAAATACGATACCAACACAAAAAAAAACATTTTTTACAATTTTTGTCTGTTTGTTCCGGCTAATCTCTGAAATGGTTGGACCGATTCTGACGGGACTTTTTTTGGCAGGTAGCTGATGTAATAAGGAGTAACTTAGGCTACTTTTATTTTAGAAAAATAAAGTTAAAATCCACGCGGACGTAGTCGCGGGAACAGATAGTTAATAATATAATTACTCCAGGTGTCACAAGATAATTTATTGTCTGTGCTATATATAATAGATATCGATTACTGATTACCATAAGGTAGGCCGTTACCCTCCGATCGATCCCCCGTCCAATTCAAACGGGGGTCGAAATTACGACGGTCTGAGCTACGGTGCGAACCTCTACCCGTACCCTCAGAGGAAATTCGATCTGTCATCGGCCTTCAGCCGCTCTATAAGTCCTTGCTTTGGTTTGGAGTGACATCTGCACTCGCTCCATATCGGCCCGAGAAGCTGAAAGGCCAGCTACGGCCAACAGCAATAGAGTCATCAAAAAAAGTGATGATATACTGTCAGCTCAGATTTATGCGACGAAGATAAACATATAGTTTTTTATCTTAAGTAATTTTGTCGCTGAACCTAAAGAATGTTATGTAGAGTTGTCTCGATCATGACATTTCTATCTACTAAAATTATAAATGTGAAAGTAATGTGGATATAAAGACGACCTCGGTGGTCTAGCACATAGCTTTACGTCCGATGGTCGCGGGTTCGATTCCTCGCACGGCACAAATATTTGTATTCCTGAGTATGATTGTTTGTATACACAACTTTGTGAAACACCAATGCCTTTGGAATCTCGTTGCATTTTGAGTCGAGCTATATATTTGAGAAATATTCTCAAGGAAATATGAATAGAATAGAATAGAAAATCATTTATTCAAATAAACTTACATTGAAGCACTTTTGAATAGTCATCACATTTTTTTTAATTTACCACTCATTCGGTAAGCTGTCTCATCACAAGAAGAACGAGCAAGAAACTTGCGTGTTGCTCTTTTAAATAATTTTATTCCAATAAACATGTTAAATGTACTGTTGTTTGACGACCTCAATGGTCTAGCGGTCTTGCACACCGCTTTACGTCCGATGCTTTCGGGTTCGATTCCTCGCACGGCACAAACTTTGTATTCATGACTATGATTCTTTGTATCGGTCTAGGTATTTTCTATGCATAATATGTATGTATTTACTAAAAAATATTTATGTATTTGTATCAGTTATCTAGTACCCATAACACAAGCTTTAGCTAGCTTAACTTGGGTCTAGATGGCGCTGTGTGAATTGTCCTGAGATTATTATAATTAACTTTATGCATGAACTGTTTCTGTGTTGTCCGGTGAGGCTGTAAAGTCAGCTGCGGCCAATAGCATTGGAGTAGTCCGAAAAAAAAGTGTAGCCCGTTAGTTTGTTTGCTATTCGAATTACATATCCTGTATTCAAATGTAGTTGACACTAAAACTTTGTATGTCAATAAATATTTCAGTTTGATTGCCCAGTGTGTACACATCGATAAAAAACACGGATTTGGAATCTCGTTGCATTTTTAGTCGAGCTATTTGGTTGCGAGAAATATTCTCAAGGAAATATGGATACGTTATATGTACTGTTTACCATGATGTCGACCATATGTCTGTCTACTCTATATAATATAATAGTCGTGAATATATAATTATACTTATATAAACTACTCTTTCATAATCCTACACGCGACCGCGTCCGTGTTAGTCCGCGTGGAATTTAACAAAAAAGTTAATTAGAGAATTCTTCTAAAATAAAAGTAGCTCATTATTATATCGGCTATCTGCCAATAAAAGTGTTATCAAAACCGGTGCAGCTATTTTAGAGATTAGCCGGAACAGACAGACTGACAGATAAAAATTGTAAAAAATTTTGGTGTTGGTACCGATTTATATTCATATGCATGTAGTAAAAAACTGTTATTTCAATATTACAAACAAACACTCCAATTTTATTTATTTATTTATTTATATAGATAGATAGATTGTTAGAGTTAACTCTCATGAACGAGCGAAATGCCTTATTTATTCACAACGTAATAATTTTCAAACTAGTCTAACCAGCAACTAACTAGTGCCCAACTAACAGACAAACAGACAGACAGACAAAATTGTTAAAAAAAATATTTTGGTATACATATATACCGTATATTACAAACAGACACTCCAATTTTATTTATATATATATATATATATATATAGATTGTTAGAGTAAACTCTCATGAGCGAGCGAAATGCCTTATTCACAACGTAATAATTTTCAAACTAGTCTATCCAGCAACTAACTAGTGCCCAACTAACAGACAAACAGACAGACAGACAAAAATTGTAAAAACAAATATTTTGGTATACATATATACCGTATATTACAAACAGACACTCCAATTTTATTTGTATAGATAGATAGATTGTTAGAGTTAACTCTCATGAGCGAGCGAAATGCCTTATTATTCACAACGTAATAATTTTCAAACTAGTCTAACCAACAACTAACTAGTGCCCAACTACAGTTAGGAAGCTAGTAGTTAGTACATTGCTCAGCGTGGTAAGATAATCACCGATTGGCAAGCAGTGCGGAGTTTGATGCCCGAGCGCAAGACTTCGGTTGAGTTTCGTACTTTCCCCTGAGTTAGCACTTTACGCTCCTTCGGTAAACTTGTGAGTTTCACGAATGCTATCATTGGGTTTCATCATCAAAATATTCCTGTGTAGAGAATTACTTTCTACTATATATGCTTTTAAAACTATTTTAGTGTCTGTTTATTTTATTCCGTGGCGAGTTTTATGTATCTAACAACCCTTTTTTTGTTTTTCATAATATTGTTAATATATAATACTAAATTTATTTCTTTTTATTTTTGTTTTAAATGGAACGAAAGTATGTGTCTAAAAATACTTTTTTAGTTTTCATAATATCGTTAAAATAAGTAAAACTAAATTGATTGTTTTTTTTATTTTTTTTAATGGAATGGAAATAAGTGTCTAAAAATACTTCTTTTTTTTTTATAATCTCAGGACAATTCACACAGCGCCATCTAGACCCAAGTTAAGCTAGCTAAAGCTTGTGTTATGGGTACTAGACAACTGATACAAATACATAGATTTTTTTTTTTCGTAAATACATACATAGAAAATACCCAGACCGATACAAACAATCATACTCATGAATACAAATGTTTGTGCCGTGCGAGGAATCGGACGTAAACCGGTGTGCTAGACCGCTAGACCACCGAGGTCGTCATTTTTCATAATGTAGTTAAAATAAGTAATTAAAATTTTTCTTTTTTTTTTAATGGAACTTTAACTGTGCTAGGAAAAACTGTGTGTGTCTATGTGTATTATAGTGTTTCGCCTCCATAATTGGTTCATGAGATCATCTATTTTTGATTGATTGATCATCTATAATTAACTCTATACTAAAACCAACTACATAATCTATTTGTCTTCTAAGCAAAGACTTCTAGTAAAATAATACGACTCTCATTATTATGTTTTATATTATTAAAAAAAAAGCTGTACTCGCGTTAAATATTAGTACATAAATTTTAATATAAAATATAGCCTATGTATTATTCTGATGCCTATCTGAAGTTTCATCAAAATCTGTTCAGTAGTTTTTGCGTGAAAGAGTAACAAACATCCATAACCTTATTGTAACGATACATGTGTCCGTTGTTATATTATTTGTATTTCTTCTCTACTGCTCTCTTGCTGCAACTATCAAATAAAGTATATTCTACCTATATATTATACTTACAATCTTTCGCGATTATAATATTATTAATAGTATAGTACTTAATTAAAGGAGCCAACAGAATATCAGCGCTGCAGATTTATCTGTAGTTTAATGCTGATTTGGTTGCCTCTTCATCATTGCGACACATAAAGCCACCTCCATTTTTTTATTTGTAATATTTATATTCCTGCACATTTAATTTGTAAACTAATTTATTTATCTACGAGTATCTATCTATCTAATACACTTATACTCACTTGAAAATACACATAAAGCCACCTCAACTTTTTAATCTATATTCCTGCACTTTTAATTTGTAAACTAATTTATTTATCTACGATTATCTATCTATCTAATACACTTATACTCACTTGAAAATACACATAAAGCCACATCCATTTTTTAATTTATATGTATTCCTGCACTTTCAATTTGTAAACTAATTTATTTATCTACGAGTATCTATCTATCTAATACACTTATACTCACTTGAAAATACACTTAAAGCCACATCCATTTTTTAATTTATATTCCTGCACTTTTAATTTGTAAACTAATTTATTTATCTACGAGTATCTATCTATCTAATACACTTATACTCACTTGAAAATACACTTAAAGCCACCTAAATTTTTTAATTTATATTCCTGTACTTTTAATTTGTAAACTAATTTATTTATCTACGAGTATTTATCTATCTAATACACTTATACTCACTTGAAAATACACATAAAGCCACCTAAATTTTTTAATTTATATTCCTGCACTTTTAATTTGTAAACTTATTTATTTATCTACGTGTATCTATCTATCTAATACACTTATACTCACTTGAAAATACACATAAAGCCACCTCAACTTTTTAATCTATATTCCTGCACTTTTAATTTGTAAACTAATTTATTTATCTACGTGTATCTATCTATCTAATACACTGATACTCACTTGAAAATTAGGCCATCTGACGCCATTGCGTAGACTACACGGGGCATGGGGAACATGGAACCGAACATGGATACTGTGAGGCCCGCCAGAGCGCCAATGGCAACTATGTACTTGCAGGTCGGTGCGCGGACGTACGAGAACATCTGCACCAGGGCCGAGTCCGTGTCAATTTGGTCGTAGGGTACTGAAAAAAAAAACATTTATTTATACCTAACACGCAAACACTTAAGCAGGTAAGAGACTACAGCATGGGGTTTTTCAAGAAGGGTATTAAAGTTTCTTATGTTATGTAAAAAAACCTATTATAGGATAGATGAATTTGTAGATGATAGCAATATCTAGCAAGAAGAAGTTTTTTAGCGGACAACGTTATAATTTCTTTTTTATACTGCTTTCTTGATATATGATATCGTAGTGGCTTTTGTATTGATTGCCGCATGCATCCTTATGTAAAGTGCGAATACTGTAACTACTATAACAAATTTAAGTAGCTATGCCGGGGTCGAGTGAAATGAGTAGTCATGCTCACTAAAATGTCCAGACATGTGGCGGCGTGGTGGGCCGAGTCATAGGGCTCCCTAAAATATGGTCGAGCGGTGATGGTTGGCTCATCCGTCATACTCGTGAACGAGTGCTGCTTGTAGGGACTGGTCTGCTCTTATCACTACGACTGATTTAATCTTATTGTGTTTTTATATTTGAGCCTAAATAAATTGGTGCTGGTTGGTAGTTTATATTCACACGTTTCGACTTGTAAATGTGAACTTACAAGGATTATTTAAAAGAGCAACACACAAGTTTCTTGCTTATTCTTCTTGTGATGAGACAGCTTTCCGAATAAGCGATAGATTTAAAAAAAAAATCGTTGATTATTCAAAAATGCTTAAATTAAGTTTATTTGAGTAAATGATTTTTTATTATATTCTTATAAGTCGGCAATGTGTGTCTGTCTCTTCTGGTGTTCCAGACGTTCAAAGACTACGGTAACCGTTTACCGTTAACTTTTTTTAACATTTTTTTAACATCACGTAAAAAAATGTTAAATTATCTATCTATACAATAGACTCAAGTCTTACTGCAAATATTTCGGTTCTACTAAGAAATAATAAATATAAAGTTTCGGACAATATCTTTTACGAACTTCGATTTCATTGGTACGAACTTTTTATTTTGTCCGCTTGAACTATATTTAACGATTCACTAAGCGACTCGTAGACCAAACAATTTTGATTAAACTGTTAACTTAAGTGTGACAAAGGCGTCAGAAGTTGCGATCAATATCGTTTGAATTTGAACATTCCGATTCGAAATCTCAAAGTAAACGCTATTTGATAAGTACTTAAAATATAAATATTTGTACAATTCAAATTCAAATTCAAAATATCTTTATTCATGTAGGTCTATTACAGATTCTTATGATATGTCAAATCTACCGTCGTTCGGAATTATTTCGAGATGAGAAGAACGGATAAGAAACTCAGCTCGTATTTTTTTTTAAATGTATACAAATTTACAATACGCTGCCTAAAAAATACAGATTCATTCAAATTCAAATTTGGGAGAATAGAGTGACCACCAGCATATGCTATTGCAAAAAAAAACAAAAAATGTAATCAGTGTTCGCAACTTGAACAGACCAGTCCCCACAAGCAGTACCCGTTCACGAGTATGACGGCTATACAAATGAATGAATCATTAACGCCATGTACTTCTAGCAAAAAATAGAAAGACTACATTTTATAATTGTCTTTACGAGAAGTATGACCTGCTTTGGTCCATCCACCCTACGATTTTACAACTCTATTCCCATAAAAGACCTATTGACTTTTCTAAGCGATACTTGGGGACAGCAAGTTTGTCTTTAAATCTAGTAAAAATCTAGTTTAAATTTAGTATTAACATTATGAATATTGCTGGTTTTTGGAAGTAAGTGATGATTTTTGTGTACATATAGAATATTTGAGTATATGAATTGTGAAGCAACGGTGAGAATATATTAATAATCTAGTTTCAAAAGCATTGAATTGCATTTATACTTGATGGACTGTGTGTAAGCGCGCTCAAGTATCGGCTTTACAGGCAGGCTATAAACAATATACGTTGTCACTTGACAGTTATTTACTGAGAATAGCTTTATAATTGATGGATTATATCATGAAGTATACTAATAGTTTACACATGAACCACTCAAATTGCGTTCCATAAATATATGATAACATAAATTCCACGAGCAATAGAAGCAATAAATATACTAAAGCAAAAACGGGCAATAGTTTTGTGTTTTTATTTGAGGATTTACTATATTGTATTGAATTAAATTTTTTAATAGTCGAAACATACATTTTCCTATTATCCGGACCTGGAAGGAAACGATAACGAAATATCGCGATTATGGCGCATATGGGAAACAACCTGTTCCCGCGACTTCGTCCGCGTGGAATTTAACTTTATTTTTCTAAAATAAAAGTAGCCTAACTTACTTCTTATTACTTTAGCTACCTGCCAATAAAAGTCTCGTCAAAATCGGAGCAGCCATTTCAGAGATTAGCCGGAACAAACAGACAAAAATTGTATTATAAAAAATGTTATTTTGATGTTTGTACCGTATTTCTATTCATATGCATGTAGTAGAAAACGGTTATTTCAATATTACAAACAAACACTCCAATTATATTTATATGTATAGATAACTGTGTAATTTAAATTTTCAACCGTTGAAACCTATATTTTTCTATTGTTTTGACCAAGATGTACTAGAGCTAAAAGGATAATGAAACATTGAGACTGGCGATGATAATAATAATAATCTCAGGACAATTCACACAGCGCCATCTAGACCCAAGTTGATCTAGCTAAAGCTTGTGTTATGGGTACTAAATAACTGATACTGTTGCGGCCTTCTTGCTGGCCGGTTATAAGACGTGACTAGGACAGACGAGACAATTGACAAGATAGAGACGACAAGAATAAAGACGGACAATTATATAGAAAGTTTACCAATTATATTTTACATTTAAAACAAGCTTGCTTCTTTCATTAACGATATTTCTTAATGGTCGACCGAACAACAGACCAGTTCAGTTCAGATACATACATATTTTTTGTCGTAAATTATTATATACAGAAAACAAACAAACTAATACAATCAATCATACTCGTGAATACAAAGGTTTGCACCGTGCGAGGAATCGAACCCGCGATTATCGGAAGTAAAGCGGTGTATTAAACCGCTAGACCACAGAGGTCGTCAAGATGATAATGTGGTAATTACAATGTGAAAAAATAAACACCAACTTCAATATAATGTTCCGGGCGGAAGGGTAATGTGGACTGATGATCCCATTGCTAACAATGTACCATGTCAGCTTGACCTCCACGCGGTTCCCCCTGGAAACCATCGTGATAAATTCCCGGTGTATTTATCACGATGGGTTTACTGACCTGACCTCATGCTCATTGTTGCGGGTGAATAATATGATGTTATTGGTCGAGACGATGTATATTACAGATGATGATAAACTGACAATATGTACATAGAAATAATGATCTTATATACTAAATAAAAATAGGAAAATGTAAGGTGGGGTGACACAGTTTAGATACAGCAGTGCCTAGTAGACAATATTGAATTTGTCTTACTAGACATTATTAAATGCAATTATTATTTTGATGTATCTAGGTGACTGTGTCCCATACTCATCTTAACATCTTCCACTGGTGTCCCGCCATCGTGAACCGTTAGCGCAGGCGGGTGCATTACTATATACTAAAAAAATATAATGTTTCTAATAGAAGATTCATATTATCCGGATTGTAGCTTAGCTTACTTCTATGTTCTGTGATCTTATCTATAAATGATGGAAACTAAATCAACCTCAGACCTCAGCAGATAGATGCGAAGTTATCTAAATTTTAAGATTTAAATCTAGCCCCTAATTTGTTTAAACTTCGACATTAATATTCTACTATCTAGACGCTCGATAGAAACCAAACTAACTGAGTAGAGTTTCGAGAACCTAAATTTGAATAAAACTGTTATTTGTTTATAAATAACTAGCTACTCGCCCTGGCTTCGCACGGGTGTGTATTACATATATAAACCTTCTTCTTGAATCACTCTATCTATTAAAAAAAACCGCTTCAAAATCCGTTGCGTAGTTTTAAAGATTTAAGCATATATAGGGACTTCAGTCACCAAATACTCACAAGGAAGCATCAGTACTCATCTTGTACTCAATAAACCTAGATGGAAAGAAGCCTGGAATTATCATTTATACATCATAGCATTCAGATTGTGTGGGTCACAATACTCATACAATAATATTGTATACGATACGGTCATTAAACAAAATTGGATGCAGTTTAAATCGCATGCGCCGATACGTAAACACTTTAGTGCTTTATTACAGTGGAGTTATTGAAAATAAAAATATTTTTTAGTACCTCAATGCAGTACTGAATTTCCATACTTGATTTTATTGGATAATGATGGAAAGGTCCACCTACCTTAACTTTAACGTTAACTTAACGTTAACTTACTTAGTTACATATGTTGCATCTCTCACGTTAGCTAAGTAATTTTTCTTACTATAGGATTCAGTTACATTTCGTTGCACTTCAATATTTTTATTGCGTAATGAGTCTTAATTTATATGTGGACTCTATTCTCTTTGACAACTCGGTGGTCTAGTGGATCAGCATACCGCTTTACTATCCGATGGTCGCGGGTTCGATTCCTCGCACGGTACAAACATTTGTATCCATAAGTATGACATGAGATATTATTATTATTTAAGGACCTGATTTGTTCCGAACAATGTTGTGAATCCAATCCGCAATTTACCTATTTCATTTTATTTTTATAATAAAATTTGAGCGCGTTTGACCGCAATCTCACCTGATGTTAAGTGATGATGTGGTCTAGCAGCTCGCAAGCTCAAATAGTGCCTATTCACTCTTGACTTGAAGACACAATGTTGTAAGAGGCAGGAAACATAGACGCTGGTAGAGAGTTCCACTCCTTAGCTGATCGCATAAGGAAAGATGATGCAAAACGGTTGGTTCGAGCAGCTGGGATGTCATCAGTGTATGTGTGGAGCCACTCTCTACGTATTGTACGTTGATGGAACAGAACGGATGGGAGGAATGAGGTTGTGACAAGACACTTTACGTAGGTGATTAAGA